CTCTTTCCATGGAGCGTAAAACCCTTATATGGGTATGGATTTCTTGAATCAACATTCTAATAAGATCACTCGAGCCAGAGAATTTTGCACAAATGTCTTATATCCTTTGTAATGGCAGAATCATTTCTGATTGTATGATCCCAATCACAAGGAATAAGAGGACTTGTATCCCACTATTCTATTTGACCGTACCAAATCCGGGATCAGCCATTGCTCGATGCCATGAGACATGAAAGGTACATATCCTAGCTGTCAGTCCCCACGAAGCCTTTGCTCTACACTTTTGTGCGTGTGTAGATATATATACCTCTGCTGTAATGGAAGAAGGCAATGCATGTGGTTAGGTGCCTGTAACGGCCACAGAGAGTGACCGTTCCCTTCCGTTTACTCGCCAGCAGGAGCTGATACTTAAACCGGTACAGAGAATGTTCTGAGTGGTACATATATCACTCTGGTTTTTGTTTGTTCGTAATCTGGATGGGGGTAGACAAGAAATTGTTTGTGAGAGTAAAAGATTTGGCTATGCACACAGAAAAAATCTTATCAATTATATGGAGAAATCATTGTCCATTTGAACACATACACTCTTTATCCTTAATTACAGCCCAAAAACATAGAAATTGTGTTTTCAAGTTTGGGAGGATGCCTCGGTCTCTTCTGTCCAATCTGGGTTCGGCTCACTCCACGACCTCGGCCTAACCCCGAGCTTGAAATACAGCGCCATCTCCATTGCCTCGAAAATCTTGGTCTCGTCCAAAAATTTGTTCCATACCCCACTCACTATGCAGTAGTTGTTGTTATATGGCGGCCGGTGGTGAGCCGCGTGCTGTGACCGGGAAACCAGCACACCCATGTCCTGTAACGCCACCACGAGCCGTGGAAGCTTGCTCTTTGTGCTGTGTGCCCAAGCATGGAACTGCTGGCTGAACATTATGCAGAATGCGAACACGCTGACAAACCCGTGTAGGACGGGGTCGTCGCAGGCAAGGTCCAGCGGAAGGACCGCAAAGGCGATGACTCGACCCAGAGCGTGGAGATTGTTGGCGAACTGACGCCTGGTGATGGTCCACGGCCACTTGTGGTGACCCTGGAAGGCTTCAATCTGAGCCCCAAACACGGGCGTTGACCCGTCCCCATAGTTGTCGATGCCCCAGTGGTAGACCCCGGATCCTAGGTCGGCTAATATATAGCCAACGTATCCGGCTATCGCGGGTTCGAGCCACATGTGGGAACTCAACATTCCGGCGATGGATTTGGCAGCGGAAACAAGGACGGTGGTAGAACCAGCGGCGACCCATAAACGGTGCGGCCACGTTGATTTCAGAGACGGGTCGTTTAACCGGGGAGGAGCGAGCTCAGTCGGGTTTGGAGGGCTCAAGAGCCGTGGCTCAGCCACCAGGCCGTCACCGAAAGGTCTGGGCTTGGTCGTGACCGAGCATGTCAACACACGCGCGTGGAGACGCCATGGGCGGACGCTGTGAAGGGACCTTAGAGAGCACGTGGCATGGAGAGAAGCTGAAGCAGAAGACATTGGAAGAGATGAGAGAAGTGAAACTCTGTGTTTGGTTTCTTCGTCTTGTGATTACATAAAGCGAAGGGAAGAGGAGAGGTGGTCGTATAACGGAAGAACGTGGTGGATATTAATTGAGACAGAGGAGAGTAGATGAGTTTGTGGACAGAAGTGTGGGTTTTGCCTTGAAAATGCGTGGGCTGTGGACAGACGCTCATGGCTTTGAAAAAGACCGATACCATATTTTTCCAAACTTTTGTTTATAATTGTCAATTCAATCCCTAAGCTTTTTTGAAAAAAAATATATTCTCATTTAACTCACAATTTTTTTTATAGGAATAAATTCTTTTAAAAAATAAAAATTAGGAATATTATTTTGGTTCTGTTTAATATGTACTCCTTTTGAATTTTTGAAAGGAATACAAGCAAAAAAAATGAATAATATAGAACTATATTTCAATTAAATTTGATAAGAAAATAATTAATGTATATATTTTTAAATTGAGGAATTCGAATTCAAATGGAGAAAAACAAAAATTAATTTCTCAATTTGCAAAACGCGTTAATAGAATGTTCGAACTTTGCAATTTGATGGACATTGACCGAGGTTGATCCCAAACTCCATCAAATCACGGCTCATGAAATAAACCGGTTATTTAAGAAGCCGAAAGGCTTCTTGAGAGTACAAAAACCAGAGTTCAAAAGCTGGAAAAAAAGCTTCCAAATTTCGGGATAAGGTCCAAAAGCTAGATGACCATGAAAACGAATTCTGCAAAAACATATATGATTTTTTCTTTTATAACGTGAGAAGAACCCGAAACAATTACCTTTAGGATTCCCCGTCCTCAAAATTTCGGAAGATTCGTTTAAATAATAAAAGATGGATTCTTTAAAAACGATTTTTTCTTAATACGTTTAGTGAGAGAGAACTTTACCGAGAAAATACTATTTTTTTCTTGCATGTCTGATTGAATAATTTTGTTCAATTAAACATTGTTCTTATGGAAAAACGGTTTAGATTCCCTTGAATAATTTGTGGATTAACCGTTACGTTTGGATCTTTTAACTAACCCATCTTCTTATCGTGTGTCTGAGGGATGAGTTCAGAAAAATTTATTACTGAAAACACTGATACTACGATGTTAAAATACAGAATATTTATTTGGTTTGATCAGGCACATAAATTCATTAATTTTATATAAATTTAGTTTAAAAAATAAATATTAATTGTAGCGACATGAGGCATATCATGTGAACGCGTGAAATCATCGGTGGGTCTTTATTATGATTGTGCCAAACGAAAATATCACTAGAAACTAAGAACAAATGTTGGGCACGAGGCGTATATTTCAAATTAGCGATTTCTGTCCCAGGACATTAGTATGAGTTTCGGCTTAGATATCTGGTTACCAAAAAAAAAGTGTCCGGATTCGATTAGTATGAACTTCGGTCTAGATATCCGGTTACCAAAAAAGAAGTGTCTGGAAGATTCTGAAGGAAAGAGAAGGTTCCAAAAGAAGAAACGACGGATTCCTCGTTTGTGTTCAAGCGACTAAAAGTGGTATCGGATCTTTCTGTAGGATAATCCCTGAATTGAGTTTTGTGCGTATAAAAACCGAACAAAGAAATGGAGCAACACATATAAATATCGATTCAAAAACACATACATATATACGTATGAATTTCCAGACCTAACTATAGAGTAAATCCATTCTGGTATCAGAGGTATGAATGTCCCTAACAATGCATTATCCTGACCAGGAACAAGATGCCGCTCCAAAACCTAATATCCGTTAGGTACATTGATCTGCTTTTACAATTTCGGCATATGGGCTAAAGAAATAGGTTGTTAGTTGCAAAGATCTTGACATGAATCGACGGTTTTTTTTTACCGTTCCTTCAAGAGGTTCGATCCTCATTTGACAAGGCTCCTCGTATGCTGTAGCTGTTCCGCTCCAATTCTCCTGCCTGAAAACGATTCCCGTCCTGATCAAACCAGTAACCTCTCCTTCGTTTCAATAAGTCTGATGATGCATCCATAGCCGCAACTCTGTTCACTTCGCTTCTGATTGGCCTCTGATGATCACCCGGGTACTCTGGTTCGCGTCTGTATTGGTTGCTGGATCTTGTAGAGTTCAATGAAGATGAGGCATGTAGGTGTTTTCTGTCACGAGGGATCGAGGGTAATGGTGGAAAGGGATGAAATGGCATACCAGGGGCTATGGCTAGTTTCTCGCATGTTTCTTCAGGAATGTCTTGTGCAAATCGCTGCACAATAGCCAATGGAATCCCATATGAGACGGGCAATGGAGAAATAAACTTCTCTTGTGGATGTGCAAGAGCTATGTCTGCTCGGTCTAAAGGGCACTCAAACCCTGGTGGACTACCATCTTTGACATTTTGATTTCTGAATTTGGAAGACACAGCTTCATGTTTCAGTTTCAGACATGAAGGCGTGGAAGATTTTGGGCGGGTCTCCACTTCCCGGCTTGGAGAAGAATGGAGATCATGTTTTGATGTGGGCTGGTCCCATCTCGTTTTACGCTTACGTGTTCCTGTAACGGTTGTTTGGCAATTACCAGGTTCAGTTTCTAAAGCATCCTTGTTACCCGATGAAGGGGTTTCGGGTTTTGGTTGAGGAGCAGAGGTTATTGATTCAGATGATCTGACTGGGTCAGGTGTTTGGCCATGTGATGCTGGGAATCTACTATAATCCCGATGTCTGCAAGATCCTTTCATGCTCTCAACCTTGTTCATGCGCATACGTCCTCTGAAACGCTGATGATTCCATCTATCACGAAAATTTCGAGCAATTTGGTGAACCTATACGTTACAAATAACAACTCAATTAGCATTCCCTACAGTAATCCATCTCAAAAAAATCGTCTATGGAATGCATTTGGAAAAGAAAATTAAGAAACTAGTTTCTTTAAAATAGCAGGCAGGCAGGCAGGATGATGATAAATCGTAAGCAAAACCCGAGATCTCAATTAGAATGTTCTGCAGTAACTCTCCCAAAAACAAAAACCCATAAAATAAAGGAACAAAAGTATCGTTTAAGGAATGAATTTGGAAAAAAAAAGAAACAAATTTCCATAGAATAACAGGCAGGAAGGAAAATGCTAAGTCATGAGCAAACTCAAGATGTGAGGGCTACCTGTTTATCGTCATGCTCTGTCAACGACAACAAGGAATCTTGAAAGCTGCATGGGCAAAATAATTTTAAGACAATTTTTTTTTTATAAAACATAGTTGGAAAGGTCCAAATCATTTACTTAGGACAACATCCGACATATATCGAGATAAATCAGCAAGATTTGAAGTTGAGCAAACCTCTCCATTCCCAGACAAGGAGGAGCTCTGATTATATCTTCCAGGGTAAGAATGTCCCTCACAGTTAAGTACTCCAAAACCTGTTGTAAGATAGTTACCACAAAAATCGATTTTGTTTCCTAATTACGAAGTAAACTTCAAGAGATAAACTGTAAAGTTTGGTTTCTGAGATTGAACCCATAGCTAAAACTCAAGCCATTGAATCAAGTCCATGATACCTTCAGAATTTTCCGGAGGATTGGAATCTTTTTAAAATCATTCTTGTACTGTTTGATTGTATTGTGTAGCATCTGCAGACCTGGAAATACGACAACGGTGGTTGTTCATTGCAACTTATTGGATGGCGAAATAGAAAGTGCGAAAAGAAATGTGGCATCTCTACCATTTCTGTTTACAATATCCATCAGTACAGCTCGTGACCTCGTCTTCAGAAGCGCATCTAGGACCATAGAAATATCTCGATTGCTGCCACAAACACTAAGTATGAAAATTTTACAAACACGATATGATACTTTGGAAGAAAGTTGATCACATGAACAGAGAATCATAGGAGACCTCTGTATTCCTTCTTTGCTTGCAACTCCAGGCAAACCTGCAGTGAGAAGCAAAAGCTGCAAGTAGCCTTTGGTTGCATCCTGTCACAGAAACAAAACTGGTGAGTAACCCAAAATGAAATGGCGATGGAAGAACTAAATTGTAAGAGATATGAAAACATTGCTGAGATGAAAAAGAGCCACTCGAACAATTTAAGTACCCCAGAATGGTTAAGGTTACGGAATACGTGCCAAATGGAGTATCCTCATATACATACTTGGAAACAGGTGGACATAAAGATTTACGTACTTTTCGTTTGCTTATTCCCCCATCAGAATCCAGCAACTCGGTAAGTTTGCTTTCAACTGCAAAAGCTGAAGAGAATGGTCAATAAACACCACTTCCATTTCCATGGAATAAAGCAAAATGGAATCCTGGTTTGGGGAAATTTGTATTGGGGAAAAAACAAATAACATTATATGCTGACCAGTTTCTATACGTCTATTAGAGCAACCTCGACACAATGTTTTGTGTTTCACAAAATTGGTCGGCGAGTTATCAGACCCACTGGTTTGAAATTTCCTGCCATCAGGAGAACTGTTTTTGCCTTTTCTTTCCTCTCGAGAAAGGGAGAAACAAGGAATCGTCTCCATATGTCGAGATGACTTCTGCAAATATTTCCCATCTTCAACAGAGAAAGACTTGGAGCAGCCAGGATCAACGTCACAGAATAATTTGCTCTCTAAAGCAGGAGAAGCTACTTCTTGTGACAGAGTAGGACATATTGTCTCCCTTTCTGAGTAAGTATCTGATTGGAGAGCAATGATTTCCTTTTTTGTGACAACTTCCAGTGGAAGGGAGCCCACCTGAGGCTGGACTGGCGATAAAGAACTATCCTCCAAATATTCCACTTGGGAACTGGATGGAGCAAAGTGATCCATGGAATCATCAGGTTCTGGATGAGCAACCACTTCATAAACTTCAAGTTCGTGATCGATCATTTCCTCTGTCTCCCTTCGAAGTTCATCAGCTAGTTTTACTTCTGCATAATTAAATGGGCTATTTCTAGTAACAGGGTTTGAAATATCATCTTCCAGAATATGGACTTCATCTGAATCACTTTTCACAATTACATCCCTATCAAGAAGATCACCGCCTATATAACCCCGACATCTGGACGAGCCACAGTAGCACTTTGGGCCAGCTGCTCCAAATACCCTTACATAGTTATAGTCGAATGTCAACTCCTCTTCCTACATTAAAAACTTTTTAGGTTTACAAAAGCACTCACATACAAGAATAGAAGAGAGAGAGAGAGAGAGAGAGAGAGAGAGAGAGAGAAAGAGGGGAAAATACAGGCACACAACTTCAAATAATGCGCTTAACTGGGAGGCCATCAGATTCAAGGTGGGGACATACCTTCTTAATGTCTCTCAATGCAAATATTCCGATACAAATCTCTCCATTCACCATCCACTGTTCAAATAACTTTGAGTAAGAATATAATATTCCAAAACAAATAAAATACAGAATATCCATAACAAAAAAAAATCTAACCATACAGAATATATAAAGGAAAATTTCCTACAGTGATTCATCTAATAAACGATTTAGCTAGAATCACAACAATGCTCAAGATATCAAAAATCACAATTCAGTGAAAGGTTATGACTATTCTCACCTTCTCAGTGCGGCAATTCGGATAACAGCTATGATTGATGAAGCGGCCCAAATTTCCTTTTGCACCTGCATCGATCACCTAAAATGGATATGTGAAAAAAGGAAAATTAAATTAACGAAGCTAAACAAAAACACGGGAATCAACAAGAAGCCAATCCAAACCTCATTTGCATTCAATGTCATAAAGTAAAAATGCCTCTGACCCTGAGCAGCATAATCATTCAGTCGAGATTCATAAGCTTGCCCATCAAGCACCTAATGGGATCGAATATCTTAGCATTTAGATAGTACTGTCAAGATATTCATTAATGGCAGACGGATACTTTGCACATACATAAAATGGAATACAATTACTCGCAATAGTTGAAGCGAATTCAAAATTCTAGAGATACCACCAGAAGTTCACTTATACCTCTCCAACATATTCGATAATAAAATGCCCCTCGCATACATCTTCAAGAACTCTCAAACCGTGACCTTTCTTACCAGCATTGAACAACTCCACCTTGGCATATTTACGCTGCTGAAACTGAATAAATGGACAGAAATCTAAACAATGGATAATCTCACACAAGAATGCTCCTTGTGAAAAAATTGAAATGCAGAAGGAATAATTCAAGTACCTGTTGGTTGGAGCAATTATCTCCACAAGGACAAGTGCTTTGGACGCACTCAATCTTGAGCATCCTATTGAGACAATCATCTCCACAGCCCAATCGACCACATGGTGGGGCCTTGCACTGACAGACTAGAACCTGATTTCATATCTGAAGCATTATAAATAGCGGAAACACATTCATATCAAGTTATCAACGATAACAATACTTTTCCCTGTCTCCGTGGGTGAATAGGTGCAAGAGCCCATACTTGAAAAGTAGCTAAAAGGATTTATATTCTATTAATCTAACAACTTATCCCAATTGAACAGATCAGTCTATAACTAATCACCTTTCTAGAAATCAGCTGCCAACTTGACTCGATTCTGGGACAGTCAATTAATTTGAGCTGATATAATCTGTCTATGATTTTATTTTCTTCTTTTAGCCTTCCAATTCGCAAATCGTGTTGAACCATCTCAATGGAATTCCAAAAAAAACCAGATTGCTTACTTAAGTTCACATGAAGTTTATGGCACTAAAAAAAATAGACAATACCAGACCTCATCAATTGTTTGTGCTTTACGGGATCGGTGCAGAAACTGGTTGCATTTGATCCCCCTAAAAAATGGAGTCTTGGGAGCTGCCAGATACAAAAAATTACAGCGGCTGTTTAAAAATATGCCTACATTTCACGGCTAGATTTCACCAATTTCTCAAAATGCTTCACCTGGTTTCTTTCTGGATTCTGACACCTTGGCAACTTTACTTAGTTTAGAATCACCCTCATATGCAACTAGCTCTGCACTGATTCCTTCATCTGATAACTCTTGGGGCACAGAGCAATCAGCAAAAGCTTCATCTGAATTATCGGTGCAAATCCTTCAGGAAAAGTTAAGAAAAGATAGGTTCTCATTAGGGAGATTCAAGAACGATCCTGTGTACTAAAGACAAAATGTGGCACAACTCGTCATTCTCCAATCAAGCAGATGACAAGCATATGCATAACACTTGTACAACTGCCCAACTCAACAAAAATGAAGAACTTCAAGAAGTATCATGCAACAGTCAACTTTACCCAACATTATCATACAGATTATGCATAAGCGCCAGTATGAGATGTGCTGCCGCAAAGGTAAATTTTTTGCAATAACTAAAAAGTGTTGCAAATTTGGTATGGGGGACGTTGGTATTAGAAAGTTGGATTATCGATCGAGAGTCGGTGTGAGGTGTTAAAGGAATCTGAGTCTCAAGAGATTACTCGCCGTACCTATGGATGATCCTAACCGGGAGAATGGTCACGTTCGAGCTGAAGGAGAGCAAGAGAAAGAGATGCACGATTAGAAGGCAAACCAACGAGGAGGTACGAGTGAGAGAGATTAAAGGCGACTGGATGGGGCGATCAAGGTTTTGAGTTGCGAGCCTCACCAGGCTGAGGGGTGGATAGCGATTTCGTTAGGGAGAGCCTTTCACCTTGCTTCGTCGGCCGCTTGCCTTGCCTTACCGACCGTTTGTCTCATCTCTCGCTCCTAGATACGTCTCTTTCGCCTCTGGTTTCGTCCCCATCGCATTTGCCCACTCAGGCAGGTACTCAGTCTCAAAGCTCAGGTATCCCACCCCTTATGAGCCCAAAAATCCGAGAGCGAGAACAAGATTGGATAACCGAGAAACTCGAAACACTACCCACCCTAAAATTTGGAATACATTTTTGCAAAGCAAAATCAAACAAAAGGCGGATATCCCCCATTGCATCGCAAAGTAATTCTATCACGAAAAGAAGAGCATTCAGCATATCCAAGGTTTCGATTTACATAATGCTGAAAGAAACCCGTTTAAGATCAGGATGAAACTTACAGAGAAGTAGAGTAATCTCTGTCTCTGGTGACACGACGCCATTTGAAACATTCATCGCACTGAACCCATGCAATATCTGAAGGGGTAAGTTTCTCAACTACACCATTTGGCGTCACGCCAATAGTGGTCACATTGAGTGATGCAACATAGTCTTTGGTATCTGCTCTTGAAACAGAAGATGCTCTGTGGCAGCCTACTGCATGAAATCACATGAACACCCTTTATTCCATAATCACCCAAATGTAAACAAGAAAACATATGACAATGAAATCAGAAATAGAGAATGAAAATTTGCCTTCCAAAACAACTAGGACAAAGGAGGCGGTAGATAAACAATAGTGTACCTTCTCTGTGCTGAAGCTTTACTTTCTCCAGACAGGGATCACAAGCATCCTTCTCGTCTTTACTGTGTTTAACTAGCTTCTGTTGGTTTTTTATGTATCCAGATTTCATTTTCTTTCTTCCCTTCCAATAATCCAAACATTCTCTCCTTCCATTGCTTCCTTCTTCGGATTTTACACTTTTAGAACTATGTTGCCCCTCGGATTCACAGGAAGAAAGAACTTTCCTTGAACTCTGTGGCCCAGGAAACTGTGGATCAAGGTCTGGAATTTTCTGAGTTCCCATGGAGACTTCACATCGAGTCTCTTCAAGCAAAGGGAACAGTTCACAAGACTGATCCTCCTCAGTGGAAAGGTTGCTTGAAGCTTCTAAACTTGGGCTAGAACAACGGCTCTCCTTTTTTACAATTTCTGCAATACTCATTTCTGTACATTTGTGGCTATCTACCTTCATTCTCCTTTCCCTTCCTCTACTCCAATTCTCAAGTTCTGCCTCAGAAACAATCAATACAGTACTGCACAGGTCATCTTGATCTTTAGCCCCAACATCAACAAAAGGTAATGAATTGATGACTTCAGAACCTGGTGAAGAACTGGCCACATTGGAGGGAGGTGATATATCCATATCAGCAGCATCTCTAGCTGATTGTTGAGAAAACTTGTGACACTTCAAGTCCTTGCTATCATGTTTTACGACATCCAGAGAGTCACCATTGATGTCCCGATGTTTTACGATTAGTTTATTTTCAAGACCAGATTTACTAAATTTTACCTTTAACCGAATGCAGGCTTTAGAAGCCTGATTCTGTTCACTTGAAAATGGTGCATCTTCCCCATTTGGATGGCTACAACTACGTCGATCAACCTGAGCACCAGAATATCTCTGAGAGCATTGATTTGGATCTTTGTCTGACACATGTTCCTGGGTCCTGCAGTAAAATTGTGACATATATCTAGATAGCCCCCATTGTGAGGAGCGGGCCAATTTAGATGAATGGCTCCTCTTCCTCTTAGCAGCTCTGGATATCGAATCTGGAGATTCTTGTGATTGCTGGGCCTTGAGATTTTTTCCCCAATGGTCACAGACCTTTTTCATCCGGCTCTTACCGCTCAATTCACTCATTCGGCTTCTTGTCCAAGTACCCGACAAATCAGCTTCTTGTCCAGAGAAGCAAGCAGCTTCGTCACATTGGTTATCTTCATCATCGATTGGTTCAGCACAACTAACTCTGTCATCAGACAATAAGACCGCATTGGCGCCCTTCCCCAGAATTTCTGGAAAATCTGACTGCACAAGACACTGATTGGCAAAGTCAAGAGCTTCAATCCTACAAGCATCTTCTTCCATCCAACTGCAGTGACCATCTTCTGACCCATGCAAAAAGTCCCTTTCTCTATCCATAAGAAGACCATCAATACTATTTGTATCTCTCTGCTCTCTTCTCAAACCTGGCGCCAACTCAGAATCCTGTGAAGATGTGATCAACGTTTCCTTATCTACCGATGATCTATCTCGGTGTACTTCAGGAGCATTAACCACAGATGATTTGAGGTAATTCTTCAAGCCTGAACGAAAACCTCTCCGTAGTTCAGTTTTGGCCTCTTTTCTACCATCCTTGAGCATCTCCATGACATTGTCAGGGTTCAAACAATCAGAACCCAACCACCGATTTGAGTTCACAGCAGAATCAACCAGATCATGTCCATGACCTGAGCATGGAAGCATCGCAGTAAAGTAATTCTGTTCAACCTCAGGCGATGAATTCAAATCAATCATGGTAATCACAATGATCCTGCAACTTTTACTGGAACAAGCTTAATTTCCCAAACAAGCCTTCACATGCAGAATTCTCAACATCCAACACCCATAACCACTAAACGCAGAAGGATCGTCATCAGAAGCATGCAAAAAATCACTCACCGAGCCAAAACAACACAATGCAGAACCTATCTCATCACCCAAAAAACCCTACATTCCCTTCAGCAATACCTCTCTTCTCCCACAGAAAAAGCAACGAATCTCCACGCAACAAACTTTCCAACGAGCGAAAAACTATTCCCCATGGCTTCAAACGGAAACAAAACTAGAATGCGAATGATCATACCATTCCGAAGCCTCCACAGCCTACAAACACAACAAATTCCGGCAGGCAAAATCGGGAATCATCAACTAGAATCATGATGAATGAGAGATGAAGAATAAAAAAAAAAGAGAAGGAGAATAACCTGTTGATAAGTCGTAGGCAAGTCGCCGATTCCCCGGCTTCGACGGAACAATCGCTTGGAAACCGTTGTTTGGTTTGATTCGTCGTGCGGGAATTACTTTTGCTGGTTTTAGAATTATTTTATTTTTATTTGATTGACAAATTTTATTTTATTCAATTATTTAATTAATACTTTTTCTCTAGTTTTCAGAAAGGGACCAAAAAATTCTGACGGAGTCTAAAACACCAATAGTCAGAGATTCCGACTCACGCGCTTTGGGTCGTCTGTCCCCACACACGCGCTTAACAGATTGCGAAGTGGTCATGCTATTCCCTATGCAAGAAAATAAAATATAAATAAAGAAATGCGTATTCCTAGATATTATCAGCTGGACAAAACTCATATTTCCGTATTATTTTTGGATATTTGCAACACTATTGAACTATATCCACTGGATTTTTTTTAATGTTATTATATCTTTACAATCTTGAGACCACAATTTTCAATTCGAATGTTCAAATTGGTTTGGGATTTTGAGGTTTATAATTCATATATGACTACGATTTTATACCGAACCGTCTAAAATACGATTTTATACCGAACTGTCTAAAATACGATTTTTTTAAACTGAACCGTCTAAAATTTTTTAACGATATTTAAAAAAATTGAATTTTTCGAAATCAAATGAACCGAATTTTTAAAAAAAAATCAAAAAACCAAAAAATTCTTCAAAAATCTAATTTATTTTAACAAAAACCATAATCAAACCGAATCGAAACCAATAAAATATCAATCGATTATTATATATTTTTATAAAATCGAAAGAACTAAAATAAATCATTTCTAAACCGAATACCGAAACGTCTACCCTTATCAGTCACTCACTGTTCTAATATATTAGAAAAAAAATATTTATAAACTTCTAGACTGAAATACCATGAATTTATATTGAACCGATATTTGGATGGTAAAGATTATAATTGTATATATTTTAATGATCGTTCTTATTGATTCGGTTCAATTGTTTGGAGACAAAAGGCAAAAAGGCATATCAGAGCTTCGTAGTCAATTGCACCTTGAACCCCGTTTCCCGTCTGTCATGTGTTGCCCGTAATAGCCACCATCTCTTGACTCAATACACATATTCAAAATAATCATCACCATGCATTTGACCTAATCTTTCTCATAGTTTATTTAATGTTATACGTTAAAAAAAGTTAGTAAATAGCTCAAACAATTTAGAACAACTATAAAAAAAAACCCCGAATATATATATATATATATAATAATTGCTTCTGGAACACTCCTATTCTTATTAATAATAATAAAAATTTTAATATACAATGTAGTTTTCTAATATATTTACATTTTTCATCTGTTTTTATTAACACCCATAAATTAATTTTAGAAATTAATCTTTATATTCTGAAATACTTGCGATAGTGGTAGATATTGCGGATTTTGATTTGTTTAGTTTGGAAACCAAGGGGTTTCGGTTGACAACCGATTTTTGTAAATGAAACTATTATAGCTGTTTATAAAAGGTTAAGCATTCATAAAAAAAAAGTTTGGATTTTGATTTATTATTTTAAAATTTTATCTTTGTTTGGTTTTCCCGTTGAGAGTTGGTTTGATTTGATTTTATTTTGTTTAGATTCCAATTCAGTTTTTACGGATAAAAACATTTATTTTCTGAAGAATTTTTTTTTATTATTATTTTTCTACTATTTTGGCTCTGTTCGGATTTTTTAAGTTTTAAAAATTTTGTTTCTTTGGATTTTTATGTGAGATTCCTTTTTGGATTCAATTATTTTTTACCAACGGTTGTTTACTATTGTAATTCACCTCAATTTTCTACGAACTGTTTGTTCAATAAAAGCTTAGATTGACCAATTTCTCAAAATTTTCATTGACATTATTGTTCACAAAATGTAAATAAAATATTTCTTTTTAACAAAAAATTGAATTGCCGCAAAGGTAAATTTTTTGCAATAACTAAAAAGTGTTGCAAATTTGGTATGGGGGACGTTGGTATTAGAAAGTTGGATTATCGATCGAGAGTCGGTGTGAGGTGTTAAAGGAATCTGAGTCTCAAGAGATTACTCGCCGTACCTATGGATGATCCTAACCGGGAGAATGGTCACGTTCGAGCTGAAGGAGAGCAAGAGAAAGAGATGCACGATTAGAAGGCAAACCAACGAGGAGGTACGAGTGAGAGAGATTAAAGGCGACTGGATGGGGCGATCAAGGTTTTGAGTTGCGAGCCTCACCAGGCTGAGGGGTGGATAGCGATTTCGTTAGGGAGAGCCTTTCACCTTGCTTCGTCGGCCGCTTGCCTTGCCTTACCGACCGTTTGTCTCATCTCTCGCTCCTAGATACGTCTCTTTCGCCTCTGGTTTCGTCCCCATCGCATTTGCCCACTCAGGCAGGTACTCAGTCTCAAAGCTCAGGTATCCCACCCCTTATGAGCCCAAAAATCCGAGAGCGAGAACAAGATTGGATAACCGAGAAACTCGAAACACTACCCACCCTAAAATTTGGAATACATTTTTGCAAAGCAAAATCAAACAAAAGGCGGATATCCCCCATTGCATCGCAAAGTAATTCTATCACGAAAAGAAGAGCATTCAGCATATCCAAGGTTTCGATTTACATAATGCTGAAAGAAACCCGTTTAAGATCAGGATGAAACTTACAGAGAAGTAGAGTAATCTCTGTCTCTGGTGCCTTTGAGAATATATAACTTGGCCTCTAGGGTTGGAGATGAGCTTCATTGCAGTATTTTTTGAAGTTCAGAGCCTCATCGGTCAAGAATTCACTGCACAGAAATATCACATTCCAAATGTTTAGCAGAGATTGCGAGGTGTTGATCTAACAAACGCAAACGAGGCAAAAAAACGACTCACTATAGCCGCTCAGCCATGCGGGCCGCTTCCCATCGCGGACTCCATGGGTAATCGGTGAGATTCGATTTTATTGGCACACCCGCTTGGTTTAGATGCTGCGTGATTATGGACTTGCGTTAATATGAAATGTTGGAGCGTTTTCAGTTATGCATATCATAGTGCGATTAAGAATATCAAATATGTTTTACCAATCAAATTTTGAGTCTCATGAAATACCTGAAAACTCTGCAGCATCAGAGCTGGTTGCTGCTTGGGGAATTGAGTTGAAAGAAAGAAGTGAACCTACATGAAGATATAACCTGTTAAAGCATTGCTACATACTCTGAAACATGGAAGCTTTCAATCACCAAGGAAAAAATCAGAAGAAAATTTTGTTTCTGCAAATAATCAATCATCCACGATAAGGAGAACAAATTTGATAAACCAGAATCCAGGATTACAATCGTTTTCTTTTAGCAAAACTAATAAGGTTCTGAAACGAGAAATACTCACCAGGAAACCAAAAGTCCCTGAGGCGGCAAGAAAAGTAGCCTTTCTGCAGAATATCTGGCAAGGAAGGAACACGAAAATTGCTTAAAGCACAATCTGTGCAAACATACAAATGCATAAAATGCTTACTGTATCAGCTTCAAGAGGTCTCCCGAAAAAAAGTGCCAATGCCTCGATAAAACTTCTTCTGACATTGATTAAAGAAACCGCTTCCAAGACCTGGAAACCAAAGCTTCATAAAGAACTCACACAGACATTAAGCTAGGAATAAAGTGCATTATCAGTCAGCATATGTCTAGCGAGTTAGTTTGAGAAACCAACCTGTCTCTCGAGGGTTTCTTCAAGATGGGGTAGATATTCGGCTAAGCACCTTCGAAACAGAACATATAAGGATTTCAAGAAAAGGGAAAAAACATTATCAAGATTTTAAGCAGAAGAAACCAGGCAAGCAACAGCAGGTGTTGACAAATGCAGCCACAGTTACTTACATCCCATCCATCCATGCAGTAAGTTTGACATCCTCAACGGAGAACAATGTTTTAAGATCAGAAGATGATACTAATTTCAGCCGAGGTGCCGATGGTGTTGATTCATACTTTCGAACAACTGGGTATAGGACCTGCAGCAATTACCAGTAACATGGAGAATGTTACGAAGCAAGACAATCAGTGGATAATGATAAATTGAGAATGCAGGTAAACAAAACAAAACCTGAAGATATATCTTTTGCTGATGCTTCCATGGACACCCAACAACCATTTTGTTTACGTTCACGTCCATCATTAAATGTACAGAGAACTTTACCTCCTCTGGCTACAGTAATAATTAAAAGGCATTGATCATGTATATAATTAAGCCTTCTACAACATGTTTTTGCCAACTTCACAAGGACACAATCAACTATCGCAGTTAACAAAAGATACCTTGTCAACACCTGAAATCAGCTGCATTTCGATTCCCTACAAGTAAATAAACAATTTTTAGTATGGATAATAGATTCCACAAGGGCGCTGGGTTCAGAGAAGCAATTAAACTTCGTAAGTACTACAATTAAACAAATAAACATGTTCCAAAAGGGAAAACCAACATAGCAGACAATAAACTTCTTAGATCATCTATTTTACATCATATCTTGATGCCTAACATTTCATATATTTTAAGAAAAGAAAAAGAGATGAGCAATAATAACCTTCTCCATTATGTGGAACAACATGAAACGAATACTAGATAAAAGAAGAATGAAAGGAATACTCATCTTTTTCATTATAATGAAGACATACAGGCCACTCGTAAAACAGAATAAATCATGAGACATGGGCTCAAGTTTTGTCAGATGGATTTGGGCCTTCATCGTACCTCACGAGATAATATGGTGCTAATCTCAAACTTCAACCGATCATCGTCAACCTGCCCCACCAGCCTTCTCTGGTAAATCGCATATTGATCCCTAGGGAAAAGGTAATTGAGCAGGAATTTAGATTCAAACATCCAAAAAGCCCCCACAAATGTTAAGAATCAAAACAAACCAAGGCCACTCCGCTCAAAAACGGTAAAATAGTTACCTCAATCCCTGAATGAGAACAAGCAGCCGTGTCGAGTCCTCGCTGTTCCATTCTGAGAAAACCTTTTTTACCGGAGCTGCTAGACCTCCATCAAGAGCAGCAGAACTACATGGATGAAAATCTTCATCATCTGGTCCAAAAATTACATCCGGTGGAGCCATTGGACACTCCGAATAATATAGAACATCCCCTGAATAAAAAAGACCAAATATCACTATCGTTTCTGCATACAAATGTCAGAAACAAGACATGAAAATGATACAATCGAGGTATTCGAACTGAGAAGGAAAACTTACTAACATTTGATTGTGTCCAAACAGTAAGGTATAACTAAACTAAAGCGATCGAGAATCTTAGGATTATACTTGTTACCGGACCAAACTTGTTCAATCTGCACAACATATCAAACCATCGAATCAGTCCAAGTCCTCCATTCCAACACATACAAACACCTTAGATCGAAAACAAAACCCTAGCTTCTGAGAGGTGAGAAGCTCAGGATCTCGGACACATGAATAGAACGCAGAACCTTTGAGAAACCGTAATACAATCAAGAATTCCGTTTTCGGATAATCTCCAGTTACCTTGACGGAATCAGGAGAGTGATTGAGGAGGTAATGGAGCTGAGCGGCGATCAAAGGAGGAAATCCTTCGAACGCCATGGCAGGATCTCCGTAACAAGATAGTCTGCGGTGGTTCTCACGCGCGTGGAGGTGAAACTGCCGGCGAAATCTGGTGACGCGACGGAGCACGGTTGCGGAGAGGATGGCGATGCCAGCGGAAACACGCGCAGCGCGCACTCTCACTCATAAACCAAACGAACGATAACTTGGTCGACCAGGCCCAGTTACAAAACGACAGCGTCTCAATGAAATGGCATAATTGAAATTTCTAGAAATATCGAGGGCATAATCTTATTTTTTAAGCCCTAATTTGCAACATTTAAGTTTGCTTTATAAAATGTCGCCGTGAAGAAATCTCTGCCTCCCCTCCCCCTCTCTCTCTCTCTCTCCAAATCCATTTTCTTTCGTTCAATTCCTTTCCGTTTATTTCTGGAATTTACGATCAAATGATGAGATTGGATCTACAAATTCTCACGACGGTCGTCTGAGATCTTCATGATGCAGCAATCCAATTCTTCTGATGAAACGGAATACAATTACCTTACTCATACTGAGCGTTCTTATGTCATCGATGTTGTTTTCTTTTTTCCGTGGGATTGGTGCCGTACTCGATCTGAATCTGATAGTTTCTGCAACTTATTTCTTTGTTTTTAATTTAATTTTCGGAAATCTGTGTTTAGGGTTTTTATTTGGTCATGCTTCTGGGGTTTACGAGTGCAAGAAAACAGTTCCATACTATGGATAGTTATTTTTTTTAGTTTTCGGCTCTAGGTTATAAAATTTCATAGTTTTTATTTTGAGTTTTTTTAGTTTAGTTTTTGTATTAATTATAAATAAATAAATAGAGTTTTCGGTTTTTTTTTATTAAAATAATTTAAAAATTTTTAGTAAATCTAATTTAAAATTTTTTAATTCTCAATTTTTTAATTTTTAAAAATGCTATTTATCTAATCCCTTTAATAGAAATTTCAGAATCTAAAAGTTAAAAAATTGATAATAAAAATTTTGTGAATTTATCATATTCATAATCTAAACAAAAACCTCAAAATAAAATTAATCACTCTTCACAAACATACTCATAACTACATAGTTTTTAAAATTTTAATTATTTTTTTTACTAAAATAGATTTCTAGATTTTTAAAAAATTAAATTTACAAAATATTATTTTTGAATAAAAATATCACCAATTCATCTTTCAAAGGTACTTCCATTACCCAATTGAGATTCCTGTTAATTGAAATAATTTGTTCTTCTCAAGGATCTTTGATGATATATTTCTTTTTGCATTCATGGATTTCCGGTATGATTATGAATTGTTGTTTTTTATGTCGATGTTTTTAAACATATTGATATTGATCAGTTATTTCCAAGTTTGGATAATTTGATATTACTTTTTGTAGTATATTTTTCCGTTATTTTAATAATTGAGTTTGATATGAATTTGGTTAATTTAAGATAAACAAATTATAGTTAATTAAAATTATTATGATAAAATTATATATTATTTAATCTGTTTTTGTATAGTTAAACGAAATTTTACGGAAATGCATTATAAGTTTTCCCTATATATTGTATTTTTTTCTTTTATATTTTACAAAAATAAATCATCGCCTACTGTAAATCAGTAAATGTAAATATTAATTTTGCCTGTTGTGTAAGAAAGATTAGGTTATGTTTTAAATATTAAATATTAGAAAAAAAATAGGTGAGAATATGGGTTTGTGCTCAATTAAGTCGATTTGGGCTTAAAATTAAATATTGGGCTAATTTTATTTTAGATGTAAGTCGTCGAGGAATTCGCCTCATGTGGGCCCCCAACTTTGTTTCGCTTAGGGTTTACCGAGTCCAAACCCCGAGTCACGACGAGGTCTTTTTTTTACTCGAAAAAGATAAACGATGACAGAAACCAATAGTATTTCTCCACGTGGAATAGAATAGTAAAAGCCGACAATAATGCCCTTAATAAGTCAAAAACATGCTTTTCTCGCTCGAAGTGTACAAGACAATTGGTCAACCGTTGACCATAATTATTTTTCAGATATAAAAATCAAACTTAAGAAATGGTTTTCTGAATGAAATTGTAAATCATAGCTTAATTAAGATACTGTTAAACCAATTTTAGTATTACGTCATAATTTATGAAACGCAACTTCACATAAGTAGAAAATAATAAATCGAAACAAAAAAAATGAAATTCCGCCTACGCATCTACTTATATATATATATATATACACATATATATTATCAGTGAAAATTATGTAAATTACAAATCATCATCCCATTTGTATTTCTTTAAACTCTGTATGTTATGCATGCAATAATCTCAATCTGTCTCGTTGAAAATGTCCCTTCTATACAATGTGCTGACTTATTTTTTATAAATTAAAGTATTAGTTTTCCTACCTAAAAAATATAATTGAATATTGATAAAGTTGATAATAAAAATCTAAAAAATCATGAATCAAATTTTCCATAAAACTTTCGATATCACAAATTTATGATATTTCAATTTGATATATACATACATACGGATCAAACCATACAAATAAATTTAATATTAATTAATATTAATTTTTATACTAATTTAAATAAATAAGATTAATTTTTAATAACAATGTGACATCCGATGCTTATATATATACTCTCATTACAAAATTAGTTGTTTATGCAAATATATCTATTAACAATTAGCAACCATATGAAAAAAAAAACATAAAAACAATATATCCAAAATATCTATAAATCATTAAATTACATAATTTAATTTACCTTTTTTTTAAAGACAATATATTGAAGCTTTTTTAAGAGAATTCGCAGAGCTTCTATACATATATTGATCGCTTTGACTTTTAAATGGGCAAATTGGATCGATTATCTAAATTGACTTATATATTACACTATATCCAATGGCTAAGAAAAGTATTAGAGGCTAGTCAGATTCAGACCGCATCAAATGTAATAATGACAAATTGTTGTATCCTTTTAACTACTATATCAAGATTTCTATATTATTTAATGGAAAAAAAAAATGAAACTAGATCATCAAGTTTTAAGTGTAAATTGAAATTTATGAGGTAAAGATTTGATATTTACAAAAAGAATTGATATACGGATAAATCACATAGATTTTGATAAATAGCGTAAATTCATTTATCATAATTACAACAAATATACTTCAGATTTGTTAATATTTTTGTTCAATTCATTTTGTTTTTCTTTTATACAATCTCTACCCATTTGTTTTTTATAATTTTCCGTTTACCATTTGTTTATCTTCTGTTCGATTCATTTTTAATTATATTTTTAAAAACAATTTTTTTATAATATTTTTTTTATTTCCTTTCATTTTTTATTATAAATTTTTGAATTCAAACTAAATTTGATTCCAATTAAATAATACAGAAAACAAGAAATCTAATCAATTTTTAAATCTGACTGGATTTATACTATTCTGCAGAAATCCTAAAATCATAATTAAACTTAAAATATAAATAGAATACAGTGAGGCTGAAAGTTCCGGAAACGACGTCGTAGTCAGCGTAGAACGCTCGGGTAGATTTCTTGGACCCTAGTTGGAAAAATAATACGTCTTAAACAAAAAATGCAAGTGGGAATAGTCATCTCTCTCTCTCTCTCTCTCTCTCTCTCTCTCTCTCTCTCAAAAGAGCCGAAAAAAATCCAAGTCAAAAACAGCCTCCACGTCCACGATACCTCCTCTTAGCTTGTGAAAGGTATGAACAAGCCTTCTGACTTTTCTCCCTCCTCTTCTTCTTGTTCAATTTATTCGCCTAAAATCATATTGTTAAGTCTCCGTTGTTGTAGCAAAACTTCGTAAATTTTCTTGGGTCTCTGCGGTTTATTTTTTCCCTCTCTGGGTCAGAATCCTGATCTCCCTGAGAATCACCGGTACGTTATAGAAATCAGGTCTGTTTGTTTCCCGGGAAAGTTGTACGGAAAGAGGAAGAAAAAGCTTTGTCCTTTTTATCTCTCCCTCTCGTCCTCTCGTTTCTGGGTTCATTTTCGGTTCATAATCGTTTGGTGTGTATGTGTGTCATGTGCTTGTGTGTACTCTGTATTTGGGTTTTGATATATGCACACAGTTTCCCAGATTGGTGTCTTGATCTCCTTAAATCTTGTCTTTCGATCAAAATTCTGTTTCAGGCATAAACACAAACACATAGAAGTCGATACTCTGAGATTACTTGTGGAAGAAGACAATGGGAGGCGTTTGTCCAGGTGGGGTGAAAGGCAGTAAGAAGCTGAAAACTGGCCCAAGGTCTAAAGGGCTCTCTGGAAAATTGAAGCCGATGAAGAGTAAAGCCTCAGAATCAGATTACACGAAGCAGAAAAGCTTCGAACCGAATGAGATCCCCTATATTTTTTCGAGCGAACTCAAGCCGATGCCGCTGGTGAAGACAGCATCTAACAAGGTTTGAATTTGAAGAAGCACACTTCAATCTCGGTTTGAAGTACTTACGTTGGCGTATACCTGGTTTTGGACCGTTTAGATATAGTCCCTGAAATGTCGACATATCCCGATTTTGTGAATGTGAAGGTTGGGCAGAGGAATTCGTTTCTCGGGCGGGCCGGGATGATGGGGCTAGAGAGAGCTGTGGAGGTTCTAGACACACTTGGGAGCAGTGTGTCGAATTTGAATTCGGGAAGCGGGTTTCTCGCTGGCGTCTCCTCTTCCCGGGGAATCAAACTCTTCATATTGGCCTTTGAAGTGGCCAATACTATTTCCAAAGGCGCCGCATTGCTTCAGTCTCTTTCTGAAGAGAATCTCAAACTCATGAAGAAGGACATGTTACAGTCCAAGGGAGTTAAGAAGTTGGTCTCTCCAGACACTGCAGCGTTGCAAAGAATTGCTGCTTCTGACAAGAGGTCTGCCCTTTTATCCAACATCATCTCTTACTTTCTCATTTTATCTTCGGTTCATCTCTCTCTTCATTCATTCATATTCTTTGCTTCGGTTTATTTGTTAGGGAGGAGCTCGACGTTTTCTCCAAGGAAGTAGTAAGGTTCGGGAACAAGTGTAAAGATCTGCAGTGGCACAGTCTTGATCGGTATTTTTCAAAGTACGGTTAAATTTTTCATCACAAATCCCTCTATGCAAACATCTCCGAGTTACTTTCATGCCCTTTTCATTCTCACTCCATGTCGGTTTTCTCTGTATCAAACATTTCAGGCTTGACACAGAGAACTCGCACCAGAGACATCTCAGGGATGAAGCAGATATGAGGATGCAAGAACTCGTCACTCTTGCCCAGTTTACTTCTGTACGCTCCTCTTTCTCACATCATTTTCATTTTCTTGATCTGTTTTTACTGAATCCTGATTCAACATCCATATGTTCCAATGACCGGTCTCTAATGATGTTTTTTCAATTCTTGATTTCAGGAATTATATCACGAACTCCAAGCTTTGGATAGGTTTGAACAGGATTACAAAAGAAAGCTTGCAGAAATAGAGTCTCTAAATCTCCCTCGAAGAGGTTAGAATAAAAACTACCCGTTGCACCGAAATTTCATAGTTCTGGTTGGAAAGTAAAGCTTCAATAACCATAATTAACCGTACCGTTCTCTTGTCTGATACGTAGGAGAAAGTATCATTGTCTTACAGAATGAGCTAAAACAACAGAAAAAGCTTGTCAGGAGCTTGCAGAAGAAATCTCTTTGGTCCCGGAATCTGGAAGAAGTAAGTGACTTCGGATTAGATATCTTTCCATAAAGGATATATATATACATATATGCATTTACATGTCGAGACACCGAGTAACACTTTCCCGTACTGCAGATTGTGGAGAAGCTTGTCGATATTGTTTCCTATATACATCACGCAATCGTGGCAGTTTTTGGCAACAATGGTAATAATTCACTGTTCCACTTCCACATAAATGCTTATCCAAGAATCATAACTTATATGAACGATGTCTTGCTCAAGAATAGGTCTGAAAGACGATGGAGGGAAGAAGGGTACTGAGGGATTAGGTGAAGCCGGTCTTGCGCTACACTACGCTAACTTAATCCAGCAAATTGATAGTATTGTAAGTAATCGAATTTTGAAACTGAATCTTCCATATCAAGGTAATTCTCCCGTTAAACCGATCTTCTAAACATTTGTAGGTGTCTCGCCCCTCATCACTTCCTCCTAACGTGAGGGATACTCTATACAATGCGTTGCCTGTTAGTGTCAAGACAGGTCTGCGTTCCCGGCTGCAGACTCTTGATCCTGAGGAAGAGGTCTGTTGAAAACAATATTACCTTATCTTCGCTTTTATCTTCAACCCGAGAAAAAAAAAAGGATCAAAGGTCTCTCTGCTATCTAACGCTAGTTAGCGGAATTGCGTTCACGGGTATTTAAGTATTGATATTTGGGATCCTTGTATGATGCTCTTGCTTTTTTGTTCTTGCTTTGTGCTTCTTCAACAGTTATCGGTGACAGAAATCAAAGCTGAGATGGAGAAGATGCTTCACTGGCTCGTCCCCTTGGCCACAAACACGACCAAGTAAAGCTCTTGGGTGTTTCCGGTTTTTCGCCTTCCGTAGTAGTTTCGTATGTTCATTGTTCTGCTACTTCGTTTATAACCTTCTCGATTTCACGCAGGGCACATCACGGCTTCGGATGGGTGGGAGAATGGGCCAACTCGGGGCAAGTTTTTCATCTCTCTCTCAAACATTCACATTGCCACATGATTCAAAGCCCCAAATGTCGAAATTTAAGAGAAGAATGGAAATGTTTTCTAAACCTGCAGTCAAATGCACCTCATGTCTATTTTGGAGATTGATACACATTTCAGAACATTTCAATCGAATGCCCATATGGGTTTTTGAAATTAATCTGATAAGGTTTCATGAAATGTCGAAACAGGATCGATTATGGGAAGGGCAAATCCGGGAATAACAATAATCCAACGAGGCTGCAGACGCTCTATCACGCTGACAAACACAAGGCGGATTCTTACATCCTCGAACTCGTTGTATGGCTTCAGAGACTGATGAAGGCTGTGAGGAAAAGAGATCACGGAATCAGGGTCCCGCCTCCTTACAGTTCTCCGCATAATAAACGATCCAAAATCACGATCTCGAAGGCACAGCTCTCACTTTCCCCGGACTATAGCACCCGAAGCTCCCAACTGTCACTAGAAGACAGGTTCTTGCTCGACAGAGTCCGGAGTATAAGATTTAATCCCAGTTTAAGCAAGAGCCAGGAGTTTTTCGGGTTGAGGAGCAAGAAAGGAAACAAGATCTGGGCATTGAGCAGAAGTTCTGGCAACTCTCCAAGTATGGGTTTTTCAGACCAAAAGGCAAACACTTTGGACATCGTCGACGGTTTGGATTTCACGTTTCGAGAAGCATAAGTTTGATGTTTTCATTCTGTTTTTGATCCATTTTTCTTTGTTGATTTACCCTGTATTATACTATATATATATATATATATATATCCTTGTATATACACACACACAATGAGTACAAAAAGAGAGGTGATGGAATAAATGTAACAGCCAAACAACACAGAGACTATGTTGTGTTTCAGTGCAACTTGAGTTTTGTCTGAGCTGCTTTTCACTGTTCCTATCTTACCGTTATGTCAAGAACCTTAGAGATTCAGACCATCTAAATCGACCCGAAGGATCGTTGATGGAAACCAAAGGAGGGAGAGACGTACTTTGTCTAGAGAGAATGAGTACTTTTGTCAACAAAAATCAAAACCGAACTGAATTAATAATTGAACGATTATAATTTTTTCTAAAATTGAAATAATTGAACCGAAACCCGAATAAGCCATCCCTAACCCTTGCAGCCTCGTCTCACTCAGTCGCCCTCACTTACGCCTTCACAAGCTCGTTCTTACTCTTTCTCTTCCCCTCGGCTCCGGTTAGGTAATTTATTTGTTATTATATATTTATTTGATTTGAAATATTTATTTATTTTTTCTAAATACGTTTTAATTAGAACAAAATAATTTTTTTTATATCACTTTTGTTTGGAACTCACGAGCCCAGTGAATTAGGCGAATCGGATTAGGGCCAGTTATTACATCTCGTTTAAAAAATTAGGCAGGGCTAATCCAAGATCAAAATTAAAGGACTCGTGGTAAGCTGGGCCGGTTTAACCCAAACCGGTCAAAATGTTATAAAAGATATGAATATTGGAACTCGTATATAGATTCGGATCTCGCCAATAAAAAGACATGATTGCCCTCTCTCTCTCTCTATATATATATATATATATATATATATATATGTATTTGATATTTAACAAAATTAAAGTGGTCATCTGGATCCACGTCATGTTGTTATTCCTTTATGTTATCTGTCGGACCAATGACTATACGAAAACGAATTCACGACCAACTTGTTATATACTCAAGAAGCTTTTACAACAAAAAAAATATACAGAATTTAATTCTCTCCCTTCTTAATCAACAAAATCTTGCCTATTAATCCATATTTTCACATAAATATCTTTACACTCATATATATACACATATATATACATGGTTTAATGAGGGTATTACAAATTTTCAAGTCTCGTGAATATTTTACATACACAATCTTTAATAAGTTGTCGTTATTAATGCGGATTTACATTTAATTTAATATTATCAACATGGGCGCGCGGAAAAAGATGGTCGTCAATCGTCATGCGGATATAAAAAAGAGCAACGCAAATGAGAAAAGAGCTTTCTCTCTCTCTCTCTACGCACTTTTCTTTGATAACCAAATCGAAATCAGATAGGAATTGACGATGGAGTGACGCAAAACTTTAAAGAATACGTCAAACAAAAAGCAATAAAACATATTTAACGAATATTTAATTGATTACGACATATATATATATATATATATATGTGTGTGTGTATATATATAAAACGCAAGAGTTAAAGGGGAACAATAGAAAAAGTAAAAAGAAAGAAAGAAAAAGAGAAGGCAAGTGACATTTATCCGTAACAGTGCTTTACACGACAGATAACATGTCAATGTTATGGCCATTTCCATGAGCCCTTCGTATTCGAGAAAGAGATCCACGACCCATCCAATGCATACTACAATATACATATGCATATATGTGTGTGTATATATATATATATATATTGTTCTAATGCTATTATTTTATGTAATTATATATATATACATTTTACAATGCTCAATGCCCAAGCTCTTAATACCAATATGAAATCAATATTCTCGAGTCAAATATCGCTGGCTTATCGGATAGCCACGACCCTTGTACCAATTTTTTAAATCTTGTTGTTGGCTTTGTTCTACGCGTTAAAGACGTAAGCGCTCATCCATGCATGCATCTTTTTTCATGAAGACAAAAAAACATATAAATAAAAAAATCAAAATCGTCCTCAATTTGGCTATGATGTATAATTTTATTTTTTAAATATACCACCACCAAGTCAACTAATACAGTAAAAAAATCTTATGATAAAGAAAGTTTGAGAATACAAACCTTATCCGAATTCCAACGACATAGTAATATTACAAAAATACTTTTTAAAATTATTTTTTTTAATAAAATGTAACTTTATGAAACATGCAACGTAGATATCCCACTTCTGCATGTCACCACGTCGTGTAAACTGCGGGTTGATCGGATAACCTCACAATCTGATTTGGTCTGCCAAAATATTTTGTCAATATATTTGTGATTATGATTCTTCATATCTTTCTCTCTTTTGCCGTTCCATTGGATATGTGCTGTCTAATTATTGTCTTTTTCGCCGTAATGACTTGTAAAAGCTTAAGCTTAAGCTAAGTTCAACGAATATTCCGTTTTCCTGTCAACCTTTGATACCATAAAAAATTCTGGCGATTCGGGATAGTTTAGAATCTTCCGTGTGTGTATGTATGTATGTAGTTGAGCCAAAGGTCCGATGAACTTCCGAATTATCAAAGAAAAATGTATGTATGTATGTATGAGAGAGGAAGGAGGGAGTTGCGTACACACATACATACATGTTTTCATTTAACTAGGCCAAAACCATCTGTTCTATGACTAGATCCATGACCTAGGTGATGATGTTTTCATTTAACTTTCAATGGTTATATGTTCAAACTATGACCTTGCAGATCAATTTGTGAATGTGAAATTGTTTACCAAAATAATAATAATAATATAAACCCCAAGAAAAAAAATCAATCATCTTTACAAATACATGTTCGACAATATTACTATTACAGTAATATAGTTTTTGTGAGAATTTAAATAAAATTTTATTTGGAAAATAAAATTCTATGTCTTATCAAAAACATAAAAACATAAGAATGATAAACATGTACTTGAATATATAGTCATGTTAATAAAAAATGATCTTGTTGCATAACTTTTTATGTGACACCTGTAACCCGTCTCCCGCTCGCGAGTTGTGCCACATGGACGCTCAACCATATAATAAAATAGCGGGAATTTAAAAACATTTTATTTTATTACACATGCAGCGGAAAACAAGTATCTGTTTACAAACCCACGTACAGTAGTATACACACCAACATAAGGACGGTAACTGTAATAAAATACAAAGTCAGGTCATCGCCCGTACAAGCCAACATAAGTCCAAAGAAAGAAAAGTACATGATCCAGATAGCTCCTCACACGTCACCAGTACCCTCGTCCTGCTGCT